CACTTAGTTATGATCTCGAGAATGATTCATTAGACCTGGATAAAATTAAAACTAGCTTTGCACAACTTACAAAAATTCTTACTTTACCTTTAGAATCTGGTTCTAAATATTATTAGGAAGTACAGAAATTATGTTTAAGCTTTAAAAGAAAAAAATTTGCAGGAAGCGCTACTGCATATCTTTATTGTGCATCTCATGATGACAAGCCTGGCAAAGACCAAATAACCAGGAGATAAAAAGGCGAAGTGAAGTTCGCCCTGCAATACAACGATTTTCCTGCAAAGGAAAAATTACAATTAATATAAATATACTTCAACAATGTGCAAGTATAAAATGTGAACATTTGTGCTTACATGAATTTCCATCATATCGGCAAACAGAGTTTCCAGAAGAGGCAAAACAATGGATCCAGAGACATCTTAATTATAATATGCGATGCTCAGACGTATATAGACATTTAATTGAAATAAGTTAATTAATTTAATACATACAAAAGAACAGGTATATTACTGGGCATCATTTTATAGTAAGAAAATATACCTTATGAATCAAGATAATCAGCTTTTATCGTCTAAAACATATTTTGAACAATCCGAACTTGTAAGTAGGGGGTTTAAAGTTCTTTCTTATTTTAATAATAATTTCATGCGAGCTTTAGGGTTTGTTACTCCACTATTATATCGAATTGGTGTAGAAAAAATAAATAAAGTTATAATAGATTCTACATTTAAAACAAATCAGGAGCGATTTGAACTTTTTGTTGTAAATGCTAACTGTGGTGGGTATGGAATGCCACTAGCATATCTATACTTACTTATATTAAATAATCCTGAAGTAATACATACTAATCCAGAAGATAGAATTACTACTCGTTCACAAATTTTTGAGAAATTTTTCATTGATCTTCATGAGGAAGGATTATTGCCTTCATTTGTATTATTAGACAAAGACATTAGTGAAATTTTAGCTATCAGCGTAGCTTGGTGGAAAGCAAATATTCAATTATACTATTGGCATTTAGAACATGCTATTAGCAGATGTTTGAAAGACAAAAAACCACGGTCAAATACTTATTCTGGAGAAAAAGCGTTAGAAGCCCATCAACAATTTGGTTTTATAGACCCATCGTGGATTCCAACTAGTAGTATTAAAAGCCTATGTTCAGAAGAAGTATCAAAAGAAATTATTAATATAATAAAATGGCATGCAAATATGCATCCATTAATTCCAATAGAAAAAAACATTTTTTGGGACTCAGCTCAAATTTATTACCATTGCGTAAAAGAAACTTACTTTTTTTGCTATGATTACAAATGTTGCGAATTGTGGGGATATCTTTGGCTAAATTGGTACAATAAAAAAAATTGGATGATGTTTGCTCGATCTTCTTATCCTCTTGCGATGCCTTTAGCTCGAACAACTATGATTACAGAAAGTCACTGGCGAGTACTTAAGTACAGATATAAATATAACTATAATTGGCCCCAGCTTGATCGTCTTACCCATATTCTTGCTGAACAACTAGTACCAGACTCTGATCTTATGATGTCCTACTATGAAATGAGTCAGCATTTTCCATCTTGGTGGCAGGCTTTTAAAAAAGATTGGGATAAGGTTAGGTCAACAGATATTATGCCTAATATAGATGAAAGATATCATGTGGATATAAATAATTGGATATGTTCTTGCCTGGCATATGTAAATAGTCGTTATCTTCTTTGCAAGCATTTGGTTGCAAAGAAAGGAGAAGATTTTTGGCCTATCTTTAATGAAACAACAAGACGGCATGATTATCCATTAATTGTCTTTGGCAATAATAAACCTTCAGCAATCTTTCAAGAAAATAATCCGTGGAAAAGAGCTAACACAAATATTTCAGATGCAAATTTTGCTCTTAGAAATCCTGTTGTGGAGGGTAGTCGTTCAAGTAATTTGCGGAATACATCAATAATAACACATGAAAGTAAAATGGAAGAAAGAAAAGAAAAATACACCTACTACGCAAAGAAGTTTGAGAAGGCATTAGAATTGTATAAAAGAGAGATAGATAATGACAATTTTGTAAAAAACTTTGATACCTTAGTAGGACCATTTGTAAAAGCAGTTGGTGAATGTGAAGAAGCCTTGCAAGCTCGTAATCAGCAAGGCACACAAAGATCAGGCAATAAAAAGCTTGCTTTTTGGTTGCGTTAGCTAATACCTTGATTGAATTTTTAATTAGCCCGATCAAATTAATGTGCACTATATAATATTTTAAATATTCAAATAAAAAAAAAAATTTAAATTATTCAAATACCTCAATTAATAAATGATTATTCATATATAACGAAGTAAGAAGTTGAATGGGAAATAATCTAACTAAATTAGCACAAATAAGAATAAATTAATGAATTGAATTTGAATAAATTATTACAAATACTTTAATTAATATTACTTTAATTAATAAAATTACCAGAGTAGAGTAAGAGAATAATCTATCGACTAAAACAGCACGGATAAGAAAAAATCAGAGTTAAAATTATTATTTTAAATACTGTACATTAATCGTTACATTACCGGCTATTAAAGGACTAACTAGAAAGTAATATATAGACTAAATTGTCATGAATAAAAAGAAATTAAAGGCGTAAAAGAAATTAGTGATTACTTCAATATATTGATCAATAAATAAATATAATACTTCCGGCTGAATAATTAAATAAAAAATAGTTGATCTTAATATTTAGGGCAGTAAAATTGTGCTAAATGCTAAAAGACGCGAATAAAAAAGAGAGTGTAATAAATAAATATTATTATTTTTATTGTATAGAGGTAATATAAATTAAATTAGCGAAGTAACGGGTAAGTTAAAGTCTTAGAACTTTGAAAAAAAATTATTATAACACGGTTAACGCTGATTGGCTGGATGGTGTAGATCGTCATGTGGTTCGAGTAGAATCTCACAATGACCGTCACTTTTTTTCGCCATGGCTAGGGTACTATATCAGGTAAAGCATTTTTGAATAAAAAACGGATTTTTTACTACAGTATTATGCATTTCTGCTCGAATTTCGATAGACTTTATCAAAAATTTGTTATTTACGTTTCAAAGTTTTATTTTGGGTATGAAAAGCTTTCGCTTTTATGATTAGTATCGTGTATATAAAGTATTCGATATTGATATTAGGCTAGTGCATCACTTTCATTCTGCATATTCTGTCTAGTTCTGTAGTTGCTAAATAACTCTTAGGTTCTTGTTTTCCTTGATTCGAAATGAAAATAACGAAGTTTTAATAATTTATGTCATTGTTTTAACAAATTTATTTTGTTTTTCCGACATTATTTACAAGAATTGGGACATATAGTATATCAAATTTTGGTGTGCATATACTGTCTATATGTTATGGGTTTAAAAAATTAACCAATCATAGGACTTTAATCATGTGACCTATCCTTACCCATGAGATCTGCAAACATTAATCATTAAAAGCATATGAAAGTTGTCAAACAATACAATCCCCCGGGATAGTAATTTGGGTTTTTGTTATCTTAAATGAAGTATAAATTCGGATCCCCAAACCCAACCTATGTAGTTATATCATAATCCAAAAAAAAAAGTTTGAATTATTTACCTCCTCTCATTCATTAATTTATCCAATCTGTCGTAATGCACAGATGTAAGCTTAACGTAATCCATGTGTGGCATAAATGCGGCAGACAGATCAAAAAGTGCATCTTTTATCACTGTCATTTTGTAACAAAAAACCGTTAGTAAAATCGAAAGAGATTTATAATAAATGGAAATATAAATTGCTAACCATTAATAACAATAAACGGGTCAGCTAAAACTTTGTAAGGTGTGTCTGTAAACGGATCACCTATGTCCCAATCGTCTAACGGCGGTTCCTTGGCATACCGTTCAAGCGACATTAAGCAATCTAACATTGATTCAAATACTCTAGAGATATCATTTTGAACTATTCCATGTGTATCCTCGTGCAATGACCTGACCATAAGCATTGTTAGAGCTGACGTTTGTAAATATCAGTTTAAAATATCAGTTAAGGTCTCATAATTTACTAAATATGCACTAATAATATTATGGTTGTTACCCTGAATGGCATACACTGTTATGTGCAAGTCTTTAAATACATTCTTTGTTCGTCGTTCGACAGATCGCTTAAATAAAGGAGCTACAATAAGACAATATAACTTTCTCACATATGGTCGTTGATTGCCTCCCACAGGGTGAAACCATTCAAGTAATTTCATCTCCCAATATTCACGATCTTTGGTTAATGTATCTGCGGTGACACCAACGTCGAGATTTCTCTGCCCAACTTTCACCGATTGTTTCTGCTTTTTAGCAGACTCTGTGAGCTTTTTAAATAGATCATACTTATTTTTCATTTCTGACTTCCTACGTTGTTGCGTTTTAAGCTCATTCTGTGCAGAATTTGCAAGTCCTAATATAAAATCCATGCATGTGCGTGAAATCTCCGTCCAGGCAGACGTTGGATGATTATGCAAAGCACAATTAAAAGGTTGTTTGCGATTGAAATCCGCATATATTGCAACACGCCGATCATGTTCAAATTTTGAAATATGCCACAGTTCTAGAAACGCAATTTGCTATATAAAATCAAAACAAATTGATTTAATGTTTATGAATAGTATTAAAACACACCAATTGTGTTCAAAAAATGCATATATTTAGAATGAAATTACTAGTAAAATTTAAATTAGGTTTAAAGATTAGAATTATATGTTAAAATTAGTGACACGAAGAGATTTTCGTGTGTGCTAAACATTTTTTTACTTAAATCACCGAACATTAATCATTTGGTTAGTTTTTGAGATATAGCAGTTGTGATATTGAACACCCTTGATGTGTTTTATAAACTCGGTATTTATAATAAAATTTTTTTATACCTGATAATACGGTTGTTGATTCGCATGTAATCCATCTATAAGTATCGCATGAGGATCCATAAATACACCGATTGTAGAAAATACCCATTAAATAAAATCCACCAAACGTTGACCGTTATTACAGAGGCTAAATATAGTATATTACAAATGTATAAATACAGACCCGTGTGAAAAAATGATCAAATAATAAATGAATTGTTGACCAGAACGTAACAATAAATATTCCACAAAATACTGTTCTATTGAACAATTGTACATCAAACCAAGACGCACGCATCCAATAATAAATTGAAGTATAACTAAATCAATGGAAAATGTTGTCAGTTTAATCGAAAGTTCTTGTCAAAATATTTATAACTTACTTTAATGGGATGAGATTTGGTAGCCATTCGTAAAATATATTCCATAAAAACAATTTTGTAATCCAAAAATACATTCCAAATTGCACTGCGGTCACAATCACGTTCCAGATTAGTATATGTTTTTTTCGGTTCCATAAAGCTAGGAATTCTCTATGTAAGGCAAGCATGTTTTTTGGCTATTTAAAAAAAATAAAAAATATATATATTAACATTTTTTCTCTTTCTAACTCATAAATAAAACAGATAGAATCAATAAATCTATTCATTCTTACGGGAATCCCCATGTCAAATTACCTCAACAATATGAAATATTAGTTCGTATCTTTTGTGTATCAGAAAGTCAAATCCGCACACAACACCTAATATAATGTTATATATTAGCTCGATCAAGTAATGTTCGTTTATTGTTGGGAGGAGGCTTTTGCAATTATCTTTACGGTGAATTGGACACCAAAAGCTGAACAATGAAATGATGAAAAATATTTTAACTTAATATCTTAAAAATCAGCATTTAAGTATTTATCAAGAAATTACTCTTTATCTCCAGGATATAAAAGCAATGCTCTTTTTCTTTCATGATCATTACTAATAGTATCAAAAAAAGTGGACCCTATTGATACCGCAGAAATAATATAAATCAAAGGAATGATATAAGCACGTTTCTTGCTAAATAAAATTTTTAAGTCTTCGGCTAAGCTTGGTGCTGTATTTATACGAACTATATAAATCATATTTGATAATATTAAAATAAGGATGGTAGTTGAAAGTGGAAGTGAAATTACAATTTTATAAATAGATGACCTGATTCATGTATGAGTATCTTTCGAATAGCAATTATTGGTAGAAGACCCACAACATATATTTTAACAAAAGCGTAGGTTGTATCGATGAAAAATCGAACGGTGGAAGTATCTTGGGAACAACTATCGACTAGATATAAGTTTGCCGAGACGAACGCGTGAGTAATTGTCAATAAAAGAAACGAAAGACTTTTGTTTTAATGCATACCTCGAATTCGAAATAAAGAACATCCTATCTGAAAAATAGCAACTATCGCGTAAACGCAACTCGCCGTCACGAGCAGGTATATCTTTTGTATCTTGCTTAATTCGGTTGAACCACAAGCGAAGCCATAAATAGAACCCGGTATTGCACTCATAATAATAATTTGCACGATTACTTGGTATTTCTCCCAAAGTCAAATTGATTTCGCAACCGAGGGCGAAAAAAAACCCATAGACATTGACGCTTTGCGTGAACAAGTTCGAATTTGTGAACCGCCTTTGTGTCACCGTCCAAAAAAATTTTCGTTGCCCAATACAGTCAGGCACATTACCAAAAATGGAAATCGATTCTAGATCATTCCATTTAATTTTGATTGGCTTACAGCCACAAAAAATTTTATTGACGAAAAGCAAAACGTTCATAGTTTTATGATCTGAACTGATCTTTTCAGGATTAACTCTTTGAGCAAAAGTGTATAAGACTTGAAAAAAGAAGTTGGTTTGCTATTCGAAATTTACAATTTGATTAGCTTATTAACGTATAACTCAGCTTCTGAGATATAACTCAGCTTTTGAT